CAGGCTGCGGGCCAGGCTGCACGGAGAGGCTCGTCGACGAGCGACCGGACTGAGCGAAGCAGACGAGCGTAGTAGGGGCGTAGGGTCTGTCTGTGTCCACTTCGGGATGGAAGAGTGCACTCTGGAGCTAAGATCCACGACAGCGCCTGTCGTTCCAAGCGCTCTGCTGGGAGTTGTGCTACGTTACCCAACCACTTGAGTTGTCGTAGTTCGATGACCGTCTTGACTGTAGGTACTCCCAGCCGTCGCCGCAAATCCTCCATCGTAACATGATCGTCGTGCATCTCCCGAATCTTCTGTCGGCACGTCCCGCGCACGACCCGATTCCAGAAGACCTCGTAAGAGCGGAGCTCCTTGGCCGAGAACGGGCGGACCTCGCACCCAAAGATCAACGTGTTCAGCACCGTTGCTTGTATGAGCTGCCCCAATAACTTGTCGGATAACCCCCACTCCGGCATGCGCTTGAACATCTTGTTCCACGCAACCTTCGCCTTGTTGAGGCGCGTGGTGGTGTCCGTGCCGTAGTCGCCGTCACCCCGGCGCATTGCACCGAGAAAGCGAGCAGAAGCGTTTTGTCCATGGTCGGTGCCGTTCATCAGTCGCTCGTACTTGGTCTGGTTCACCTTGAGGCCCCACTCCAGCAGAATACGTTCCAGCAGTTCTTCCGCCCGTCGCTGGTCACGGAAGCGAGTGAGAATGTTCGTGTCATCAGCAAACAGCAGGGTGATCAACCAGCGCGTGGTGGACTCAGGAGGCGGCCCCTGCTGGCGTCTACGCCGGCGATAGTGTAGCGTCTCGGTGGTGTCAGCCACGGTTACGCCTAAGCCCGCCTGCCCTGCCTCCTGTTCAAAATGCCGTATGATCTGTGAGTGCAACAAATTGAATGTGACCGGGCTGGCAGGGCACCCTTCCTTGAGACCACGGAAGAGCCGGAATGAGGATGAGTACCCCTCCTTCCCTCTGATGCGATACAATGCCAGGCTCTGCAGCGACTCCGGGAGATGTAGAGCACGGTCAGGAACCCCGAGCACTTTGAGAGACTCAAAACACACATCACGCACAGTGCTCGGATACGCTTTCTCGATATCCGCGAAAATAGCCATGAGGCGTTCATCGTCAGAGGGGGACACATCTGCTGCCATCTCCAGGAGGATCGTGAGAACCATGATGGGACCAAGGACCGAACGATGCCGCCGGAAGCCGTACTGATTGCTGAGGAGTCTGTCCTCCCGCTCGGCAAATGCAGCCAGCCGCTGTGCTATGATGCGGGCAATAACCCGGGCAACTAGTGATATAATCATGATGCACCGATGCTTCGTCACATCGGCACGGCTCCCTTTGCCCTTGAAGAGCATGACGCCGTACACCTCGTGTGCAAGATGGCTCCACTGATCTGGGGGTTGGTCCCACATGTGCTGCACGACCACGCTGAACTCGTAGAGGAGCTCAGGGCCACCGGCGGTCAAGAGAATCTTGGAGATCTCGTCGGTGCCGGCTGCACTTTGTTTCATACCCAGCAAGGCGTTCCGCACTTCATGCACAGCAGGGCGCCAGCCCAGCCTCTCCTCGGTCGGTCGTGGTTGTATGTGCGTGCGCACGTCGATCGATGCCTCGCCGGGTGACTTGCCAAGTTTGCAGACCTGGCCCTTGGCCTCCTCGACGGTGAAACCCTGCCCAGCTCGCCGGTCGTGCCCCACCTCGTCTGCCAAGCCCATGGAGGCCATGATGGAGTTGATGGCTCTGAGATCGCTCTGGCCAGCGGCCTGCTCCAGCCCCCGAATGCGGTCGCGAACCCATCGGGCACGAGCTCTGTATTTGAAGCGGGACAGCGCCGTCTTGGCAGCCTTGTGCGCAGCCTTGGCCGAGCGCATCTCGACGGGCCCCGGAGCGTCCACGACCCCCTGCCAGGCCTCGGCGACCAGCTTCTTCTTGTGGCGAACCATATCCAAGTCACGATGAAGGTACGGCACACCCACAGTCTCATCTCGCCCTCTGCCCACTGTCTGTTCTGCTGCAGTGCGCATGAGAGAAGACAGAGCCTCCCACGTACGAGGTTGGTGGCGCTCGTACTCCTTGGCCGGCTCTGTGTGTCCATGGGAGAGCGTCCTGGAATGCGAAGCAGAGATGCTGGCGTCCGCCCCGGGCCAGAAACGATAGATTCCGCGAGCTCCCTGTTCGGCAGCTTCGTCGGCCAGTTCGTTGCCGTGGACATCAGTGTGACCATGAACCCAATGCAAACTGAGTGGGAGGCCTGCCGAGGCTGTACGAAAAGCATCTTCCAAGACAGCCGTGAGCACCGCGTGTCTGCGCACTGCCGTCGATCCTGTTGCAGCTCCAGCGGCAAGTTGGGAGTCGTAGTGAACGTAAACCCGCTGCCCCTCGGTGAGCATTGTCGGAGAGATACGATCTACACAATATTGCATCGCCCGTAAGAGTCCCGTGTATTCCCCAGTGTTGTTTGTTTGGTCCTCCGCTCCTTCCCACCACCCCTCCTCCTGATCAGTCGACACACTGCCAGAGAAACTCTGTGGGGCAGCACCTGGAGCAAATACCACAACACCCCAGCCTGCAGTAGCATTCGGGTCCTTCGGGTCATGGGAGCCATCTGTGTATATGTGCCACGCAGTGTGCGACGTAGACCCAGGGGTTGGATGAGGCTCGATCTCCTCCGGAAGTGGAGCGACCCCCAGGGCAGTGCGAATGTGACTTCCGTACTCTCGCCTTGCCTGCTTGGCGCCAGCCGAGGGCCCCAGCAACCGATTCGTACGCAAAGGAACGGGGAGGGCGGTTTCCTTTTCCTGTTTCAATGACAAGAATCGTGCTTTGCGCTGTTCTCGTGCTCGTGCGCCAGTCCCCGCATGCAGAGAAACCGTGGCCACTTTGGCACGGTGGTCGGAGAATGGTACCGTGAGGGTCCTGATGCCCAGCACTTTCTTCCTGCCCGTGGATGTCCCAGCAAAGAAATCATTTTCGTACCAAGCCCCAGACTGTGCGTGTCTCCATGTACCCCGTTGTGCTATGCGATACATGCTGTCGATGTGTATTAAACCGCACGTGTCAAACATGTCCAAGACAGCCCTGCCCACTGGAGTCGTAGGCGTTTCCAGAAGATTGTCCCCTGCAATAGACCGGTTCGCATTGTGATCGACCCCGCAATGTGCATTCCAATCCCCCGTCCACAATAATGGACACTCCCACTCCTCCCCCACAGATCGTGTCAAGTCTCTGACTTGTCTTCTCTGTTCTGCTTTCTCGGCAGCCGGTGCAGTCGGAGAGAGATACGTAACCCCCAGCGCCAACGCATGAGTAAAGAAATCCAGATAAAGAACAATATTGCGCCCACTACATGTCATTTTCTTACACCCTCCCTTCCTCCATGCTGTTTGCACCCATGTTGACATTTGTACTGCGCACTGCTCTACTGCAACCCACATGTACTCATCGAAAAACATGTACTCCACCTCTCCATGCGGTGTGCCATTGTGCATCTCACTTAGCCCTGTGATCATCCACCGTTGTGCCCGAGAGAACTCAATGAGGTCTCTGAGTTTGTCCCGGGTTGCCAGACGAGTCCAATCCAAGCTCTGCACGTTCATCGTACTCACACGCACAGTGTCCTGATACACCCTACTCTGTCGATACGTATGTCGAATTCGAAGCGGATCCCGTGCCCTCCCGCCCGAGGGCGTGCAAGGGCGAGCGGGACCACCAAGCTGCTTGCAAATACGGGTAGCCCAGTCTGCGGCATTTACTGCTTCGGCCGAGGCCGAGCCCTCCCCCTGCCTGCCGCGACGGCCGGGGGCAAGCCGATGCATCCAGAAGGCCGGTATTAATTTGGTAGCGTCAGTCGCTCCCGCCATCGCTATAATCGTGGACAGTCGTCGTCAGCACACTGCTGCACACGTCGCACCCACATGCTGCGTACACTGTGTACCCATACCCACTTGCATCCAAGAAATATGTGAACAGGCATGGCAAACGTGTGCGACGCAGAAACCTTACAGTCAATGAGCGGGGCGCTCCTCTTCGGGACCGCGGCGGCTTGCACCAGCGAAGCCGTAGGCGGAGAGGTGCTCCCCCCCGAAGACCAAACATTCAAGGATTTCACGTGGTGGGCCATGGGAGACACTCGTTCGACACTGTTTCGGCACTTTTTCGACACTTGTCCGGGAGCTCCAAATTATTTCTGGGATGTGGTTCTTAAGTACGATGGGGGCAACATAAAGCAATACATGTATCCAGGGGCGCCGATGATCTGTGTCTTCCGCAAGGCTCCCCAGCGAATGCGTGCAATGCCCGCCCCTGGGCTATTCGCCCTTCTCGTCGCCGCCGGGTTTGGTCCGCCCGCCCCCGTAATGAGCGTCCCCTTCGTCCGTCCGACCCGATCCATGGGCCTTGGGTCTCTACTTCTGGATTTCAGTTGGACGTCCAAATCAATGTTTCTTTAACCTCTGGGCCATGACGCGAGTTATGCCCCTTACCCTCCCCCCCCCTCCCCCCCTCCCATCACGCAACGCTCCCCCCCTCAGTGCGTCCCTGGCACTGCCGCAGTGCGTCTGAAACCACAGGCTGGGGGGGGCGCTACGGTATGTCCCTCCCCCCCGCTCCCCCCCAGAAGGCCCGTTACGCCCGCGAACAAAAGAAACACGCTCGAAGGCCCTTGCATCCTCACCACGCCACCTCATGATCTGGTCGCTCTGTTTCGAAGAAGGATAATCTGCACTAGAAGTATCGGCGCTCTGCGCGGAATGCGGAATTCGTGGATCGGCGCTGGACCCACCCGCTGCCGCCTCCCACGCCGCCCCTGGCGCGTTCCGCGCCCCAGGGAGGGGGCCCAGGCGCCGATCCAAGACATCCGCGCGGACCTCCGAGAGCTCACATGATGCAGACTTGCACTCTGTAGTGGTAGGGTGAGGAGGAGGAGGACGAAGAAGAAGACCCCTCTTTTTTTCCTCCTTCTCGTCCTCTCGCCTTCGGGCCGCTGCGGTCAAAAAAGCCAGGTGCGTAGACTTCGACGCCACGCACGCGTGCCAGTGCAACGAGGGCTGCAGGTCGCCGGGCGCCGGGGGGAGGAGGAATCACACCGTCTCGGTTGGTCCGTCTCGAGCCAGGCGGTAACGACAGCCTGGAAGTCGGAAGTCTAACGCCACCAGTGGCGGCGAATCGGCCGATATCTCAGAGAGGAAATGGTACCCGTAGCGCCACCCTGGCATCGTTTTTGCCTTGTTTGGATCTCCCGGGAGGCCCTCGTCGCCACGGCGGGATTCGCTTCGGAATCTTGGTCAGAACCCACTCCGGGAGAGGTCCGGGGAGAACTGGTGGTATTGGTACCTCTTGGTTTCCCCCATATCGAGCGACCTGCGCTGCGCAGGTCGCTCGATATCGGCTTTATTGGTTTTACGCCGGAAGGGGGCGTCGTTGAGAGGGTGCCTGGCACGGATGCGGGGATCGGGGTGGCGTCTGTGTGTGGAGCTGGCGGTTTGTGTGGCAAGTGCGTTGAGCTGGCCGCATTTGTTTGGAACGCGTGACGGGCGGACAGGCCGCTCACCAGCACTTGGCAGTCATTTGCCCGCGTGCCAGAACATATCGTCGCGCGCTCGCAACGGGGTCTGGGGAGGGGGGTTGGGAAGAGAGCGTGGGTCCCCTTCCAAAAAGTCTTTCCGATTGGCAGCAAACATTTTTTCTATTCGTATGCCGCACAGCCAACCGAACGAACGAGCAATTGTCTCGGCGCGCAGCGTTAGCTTCGCTTGCGCGCATCCTGGCTTCCTTTCGTTGCTTCTTTCGTTTCTTTCTCGCCCCCCGCTTCCTTTTCCTCTTCCCCTGCTTTGCATTGTCCCGCCCCCTTCCTTTCCAGCTCGGAGCTGTCACCGCGCGCGAAAAGCGCAACCCAAAGGGCGTTGCTGTAATTCCTTTGTGTGCCACGCTGTCTCGTGTAATTCCTTTGTGTGCGGTCTGGTTACATTGCCAACGCGGGAGGCACACAAAGGTTTTTCCTTTGTGTACGATCGTTGTCGCCGGCCCCACAAGAGCACGCGCGTTTTTCTTTTGTGTAGAACTTGTTTTCCCGCCTCGAGGATCGCACGGGGCCTGGCGCTACAAACGCAAGGTTGCGGCGCCTGGCAGTGCGATGCAACTGCGCCGGATACCACGCCCAAAACGATCTTACGTGGATTTTGACATTTATGCCGAAATCGCGCTGGCAGCTGGTCAGCCACATCGCCGGCCCTGCATGCCCTCGCGCGCTACTGCGTTCTGCTGCCGCGGCGCGTGCTGCTGTCAACGGATGAACAAACGGACGTTGCATGGTGGTTTGGTTGTGCCAAACCACCATATAATGTTTGTTGGTCGCGAAGCCTGGATCTTGTCGCCGCCGACAGCGCTGCCACACCATACCTTTTCAATTGCATCTTAGAGCGCGGCCGTACATCAACCCTGGGTCGGATCGCGGGGGGTCCAGTGGCATGGGTGCACATGCGTTGCGCCGTTGGTGATGCCAAAACCCTTTGTGTGAAATTCCTATGTGCTTTTTTTCGGCTCCTATCGGACAGCCGCAAACGTTCTCTGACGAGCGATCCACGCGTTGTTGGACATTGGCACCGCCGTCATCGCGACGTGCAGCTGCACGGCAGTCTTCCGCCGCCTCGGCCGATGTCGAGCGATTTGCGCCATGGGGCAGCAGTCGCTCCATAACGATCGATCCACGCGTTGTTAAAAAGCAGCGCACGACACTATTCCGCCGCTCCGGTTGTGAGGAGCCAACGGCGACGTGAAGTTGCACGGCAGCCGGTCGCCGCTTCGGCGCGTCGGCGATGCCGGCGCGGGCGTTCGAGTTTGGATACTCCCGGCCAGAAGTGCCCCCAGTTTTTCGCACGACGCTGTTCGAACAATCCGTTTTCAGCCAGCGGGGATCCTAAACAGGAAGTTGTTGCACCGAGGATGCGCGAGCTGTGTGGTGCCATGGTGCAATCTACGTGGTGCAAGCTGCGCATTGTAAATTACCTTGTGCAATCCACCCTGCTGAAGTTGAGGTCGTCAGTTCCTTTGCCCGCGCATTAACCACACCATCCAACCCTGCAATTTGTTTTGCTCGAGGACGAAAAAAAACATAAGCATTAACTTTTGGCGTTCCGAGCGGGTTTCTTCGATCCGTGCTGGGCCCCCCTGGCAGTCCTCCGGCGCCGCCCCTGGTGTGTTCCGCGCGCCTGGGGAGGGGAACCCAGCGCAGATCCGAGAAATCCGCGCGGAACGCCACAACATAATTATTGTGTTTTTTTTGTTCTTCTTCTATTTGAGCAATTCATGTGGCATCGACCGTAGACACGCGAAGGACGATGCAGGCAACGGTGATGTAATTTCCGGTATTTTTGGCAAGCGCGTCTCGTGCTTTCCTACAATTCGCTGTGTCGTTTTCGTTCGATACATCCGCAGACTGGGAATGTAGGAAAGTGTGGTTCGTGATTTCCTGAGGAGTTCGGTTTCCAACATCACCGTTAAGCAGTATCGCCGTTAGCGTGGCTTTGGCGCGATTGCTTTGGCCATTCGGCGATGGCCAGTACATTTCTGCGGTTGCGCTGGAGCGCGCAAACCTCGCGGGCAGGGCGGCCAGCTGGTTTGGCACAGCCGACGCGGCCGCGAGCGCCCACGGTTGGGAACTTTCTAGCCTGAAATCGGACATTTCCTTTTTACAGGAGGACAATTTGAGAATGGTCAAAGAATAATATTGGGACGATTCTTCGATTATGGCAGGTAATGTTTATATATTCGTTCGACTACTTCACTCATTTGTCTTCCAAGATCCGCCTGTATGGGGGACATGCCCGACCTAATTCCAGCGTGTCTCATAGCCCGAGCTGACGCGCGGGCACTTCATGGCGGGTCGGTTGCTCTGGCGGGCGCGGTATCATGATTGCGTCGATAACGGCGGCATCGATGATGATATCAGCGATGGTCCGAAGGAGAAAAATCGCCATACACATAAACGAGCTCCGCACAGTTTTTTTTGGGATGCGCGCTGTGCTCCTCAAGCGGCGCCCCCGGCGCCGCCCCTGGCGCGCCCCGCGCACAACTGTAGGGAGGGAGGTCCAGCGCGGATCCAAGAATGTCGCGCGGAGCGCTAACAGTTGATTTATGGCCCTTGATATTCTTCTGAGAGTGGTGGCGGGAATGACGATGATGACGGCAGGGCCAACGCCGGCTTCGATGCTTGCGACGACGATGGTGATATGTTGCCCACGTGTTGGCGATGAAGGTGGTCGACTGGTGATGGTGGACATGGCGTTGGTTGGCGATGATGACGATACCAGGTGACGCGGTGGTGCGCATGCCGGTGATGCTGGGTTTTCCGCGCTCGCGCATTTCTGCATGTCGCGTTTCAAATGCCCCTGTGAAGTGTATTTGGACATGATTCGGAAGCCCATGATTGATGACGGATTTCCACGCGCGCGTGGCGGCGTGTGCGTGTGGCCCACATGGCATTACCCGATATGTGTTCGTTCGCTGGGCAAGTGCTGGATCACCCCAGTTGCACCGCAGATGCAAATTCGGATTCTGAACGGCATTGCTGGATGCATGCTCGTTCTGCCATAGGGTGTCCAGCAACTGCGCATGGGCAGACACGGTGCACGTTTGGTGATCTAGAGCTTGGTTTCTGTTATGCCGAATTGTGTTCGGAATTTGGGTGTTTTGGATGGTTTCGAAAAGCGCGGGCTTGCGGATTTGTTCGCAGAGTTTCTTGAGCTGGGGTTCCCGCCACGAACAGGGCATTGTGGTCGCGTGTCCTCATCCCTCCCGCCGCCTTCTTCTGGTCGTCTATCCGTTTCCTACCTCGCTCTCGTGCCTCATACCTGGCTTTTTCTTCCCTTCCAGCCTGCCTCCTCCCCCGCCGCCTCGCGTGACATCACCACCCCGGGAAGGGGGCTGTGGACTGCGAAACTGTCTTGCGCAGGTTGAAATTCGATTTCGCCTTCCCTGGGTGGCTATGAACTGCGAAGCGCTCGCCTTTTTCGAGGGCTGCGTGGGGGTCCAGCGGGGTGGCGTCTTACAGCGCCGTCCCTGGCGCGCTCCAGGAGCCCAGCGTCAATTTCCAGAAGCCCGCGGGGACCTCCGACAGCTCACGCGTATGTTGCCTTTCCATCTTCGGTGAATAGGGGGCCACATGCGAACCCTACCCCTACCCCCCACGACTTCTGAGGGGTAGGGTGGGGTTCACTTCGTTCGGGAGCTCCCGAGCGAAGTGAACCCCACCCTCGCCCTCAGAAATCGTGGGGGGTAGGGGTAGGGTTCGCGTGTGGCCCCCTAGTGAATCCTCCGCGCCGTCGAGAGGCCGCAGCGGCAGCGGGTCTCGACGAGCTCCCAAACGGGTCGGCGTGCGACCACCCCCGCGACGGCGCGCCTTGCCGGGAAGCGCCGAGACGCCCACGCCGGTGTTTTCCCCGTCCTCCTCTACATTCGGGGGCCCCCAAACGGTGCGGTGACCACACGGTGTGGCGAGTCAGAGAGGATTCGGGGTGGCCACACTGTTTGGGGACTTGGATCGTTCTCCGAGGACTTCTCGGGCGATTGGGGCCTCCAGGGTCCCAAAACGGTGCGGTGACTGATCGTCCGGTGAGGTTTGGATTCCGTGGTCACCGCACAGGCCGTCAGCGCGCCGTTTCGGGACTCCGAAGTCTTGCCATGCGTGTGTTCCTGCCTGTCGCGCTGGTCAGGGCTGGCCTTCAAAATGTCATGTCACGGCTGGCTCAAGTCATTTTGGTTCAAGCCATTTTTGTTCAAGCCATTTTCCTTCGCACCGCGAGGCATCGTGTGCCAGAGCTTCACCCCAGCCGCAGGTCCATGGGTCCTGCCGCGAAGATCGTCGCAGTCGCCGCGGTGGCCGCGGTGGCCGATGCGGCGTTGTGGATCATTGGCGAGCAGGGCGCAACTTGCACGCAGACTTGTGAGGCCAAGTCGGGGACTTGCGTCGATGTTGATTGGGAATCCGAGCCACAGACCCAGGAGGACGTGTACAAGCTGCTCTGCCTTGATTGTAGCGCCCTTGCAGTCGACGTCA